CAAGATATTAAAGGATATATAAAGCATCAGTGAGATGTAGAGATGTTGAAGGATTCAAAATCCATTTCTTAAATAAATGGTAGGGGGCCATCAACCATAGCAGCAGGAGGAAGGGAATTGATGTTCAGAGAAGATAAATGTTTGTGCTTATCTATCATATAGGGAGGAAGCACCTAGACAAGTGCAACATACCCATAAAATGAAAAAGCATGACAATAAATGTAGAGATTTGAGTGTTCTAGCGTTAAAAATCATATTCCTCTTGAGAAAGTATAACAACGGGTCCTCCCCCTGCTTGGGTTCGGGCGCAACTATGCAACCGAGAATTTTTTTTTTTTCATGCAACACCCCGACTTTGTGCCGGCGTTGTGTACCGGAGCGTCCTAGCGTTATGTACCCGAACGCCCCGGCGCTGCAAAGTTTTTTGGGAGAAAAGAAAGATAGTAGAGTGTCGCAACGCTCTAAATTCGGCGCTGCAACGTTGTGTAGTGTTGTAGCGTTGCGGGTTTGAGCATCGCAGCATCATGATGATAGAGGCTTGAGCATCACAGTGCTCCAAACTAGCAGTGCAGTACTTTGAGGCGGATTGTATAATTTTCTTTCTCATTTTTCTGAAGGGTGACGTTGCTTGGTGTTATTTACTTTACTTTTTTGTTTATGTTTAGTGTGTGAGAATCATGCAAGAGAGGATAGAAGCAAGGAAAGAGTGTGAGAGTAGTGAGTTTCTTTGTGTGGTTCTGTAGTTTTTTCTCGATTTCGGCTTTTTCAACATTAAATCTTGATGTCTTTTTTTTTTTATTTCCGCTGCATTTCTATTTTTCTTGTTTATTTCGTTGCCGCAATTTACTTTCATCCCCAACAACAGCCCACGTAAATCATCAATGAAGGCCACAACATATAATGAAAACCCAAATGAGTAAGGATAAATATTGAACCCCAAGCTTCTGATTCAGCCACTAAAATGGATAAGAATAATAACTGGTAGTATATGATGGAAATGACACAATAGTGTATACCAAGCTCAAATGCATGACAATTGAATTTTAATGTAGAGAAGGTACCATAGATTAAGTCCTTAAGTCCGTTAGGAAGAGGATGACCTAGTAGACAGTGTCAATGAAAAGGAGTAATAGTGGAAGAAAAAAGATGGCTCAATCAATAGTACCAATTAAAATGATATAATAGTGCATGAAAAAGTGAAAAAAAAAAAAAAACATCAATCATCAAGAAGTAGATCCCACTAACTTCAACGCCACCATTAGTTGCCCTCTTCAAGATGAGATGTAGAGAAAACATAATCAAAGAGACGGGAAGTTTAAGAATAATCAATAATTATGGGACTTAGTAAGAAAATGAATATATAATATAGTTACAAGATATTAAAAGATATACAAAGCATCAGTGAGATATAGAGATGTTGAAGGATTCAATATGGATTTCTTAAATAAATGGTAGGGGGCCATCAGCCATATAGCCACAGGAGGAAGGGAATTAATGTTCAGAGAGGATAAATGTTTGTGCTTATCTATCATATAGGGAGGAAGCGCCTAGACAAGTGCAACATACCCATAAATGAAAAAGAATGACAATAAATGCAGAGATTTGAGCGTTCTAGCGCTAAAAATCATATTCCTCTTAAGAAAGTATGACAAAAGCCAAAGAAGAGATGGTAATGGGAGAGCTATTAACATGAATAGATGTTCAATACCATATCATGGGAGTGGGAGGTAGCCAAATTTGGCTCGAAATAACACCAATGAATGATTAGTACAACCACAATAATAACATGGAAAAAAGGACTTCCCAAATTTGAACATAGATCACACCATATTTAGTCAAATGAAGTTAAACCCAAAGACTTTGTGTCTTGAGCAAGTGTACAAGTCTTATAGTTTCAAACGAGAGTCAAAACTCACGCCTAACACAACTAGGAGACAGAGAACTTTGAAACGCCCTTGGGCCTTGAGTCCTCTTCACAAGTCCTCCTGTTGTCCCATTTTCATGTTACCTTCAAACATCACTTAAGATCATCAAACCAGCATCCATAGTGCAACATGTGGTGGCAGAGATCAAGAAGCTTTGATAGAATAGTGTTAAATCATAATTTCATTTATTCAATGCCACAGTATGAGATTTGATGAGAAGATTAATGGATCAAAAATACCTACAAAAATGACTTGAGCTCAATTTATTATTATTTTTTACCTTAAAGCAATTTCATCACTAAAAAATTAGTTTAAAGAAAATGTTCACATATAAAGAATTTTTTATGGGTCCTTCGGCAAAGAAAGTAATGCCCAAACAATCACAACAAACTATTATGGAACAAAAATTTTGGAATAATTTTGAAAAAGACAAAAACTACAATGAGTTGAGTGTGTGCATTATGGGTGAATGACCTTGGCTGAGGGACAAATGGTCACTTGGGCATGATCCAATATAACATTAAAATCTTAATTATAATTAGTATTGAATAATAATTAGATGTTTAAGTTGCATTGAATGTGATTATACATTTAGTTGACTAGTAGCTAGCATATGATCAAGAAGCTTTGCATTTGCAAAATTTTATGATTCAAGTGCACACCATTACATGTAGTATTGTAGTTTATATGGATATGAAAGTAATTAGACTGTAGTTGAACATTTAAGTGTGGATGCAAAAAGATATATTGATTGTTAACATGAAAGTTTATAATTTAAATATCTTAATTTTTCTTCATACAACAACAACAACAACAACATCAAGCCTTTATCCCACTACGTGGGGTCGGCTACATGAATCCTTTTTCTCCATTGTGTCCTATTAAAAGTCAAATTCTCGTTTAAATCTAATAAAGAAAGGTCATTCCTAATATTTTCTAACCAAGTCTTTTTAGGTCTACCCCTACCTTTCTTAACATAAGTCAAATCTAATACCTCTACTCTCCTAACCGGGTCATCGCAAGGCCGCCGTTTTATGTGACCAAACCATCTAAGGCGACTTTCTCTAATCTTATCTTCTACTGGAGCTACTCCAACCTTTTCACGTATATGCTCATTTCGTATCCTATCTCTAAGGGTAAAGCCACTCATCCACCTGAGCATCCTCATCTCTGCCAAAAATTTTCTTCATGATAAAAGAAAAAGAAAAATGAATCATGGCACCCCAAGAATTTGGTTTACATGAAAAATAATAGGGCCTTGATTTTGAGATACAACCATCGTGAAAGCATTAATTAAATTTCTTAAGATAACATATATGATGCTAATGAGAAGTTAACAATGAAATCGAATGATGAATCGAATAAAGATATTGAATTAGCATTTCATGAAGAGGAGCTTACATATATTATTGTGCTGAAATATGTCCATGAAAGAAACTAAATGAACATGAAAAGGACGATAGTTTTATTTACAAATTTAAGGCCAATCACACTTGCAAGTGGACATGAAATTGATGAAGGTGATGAAAAAGATTATGACACGGAGAAGACTGCAAAGAATAAAAAGAATTTAAATATGGGATTTACAAATGAACTATTTCTTATGTTTTGAATCTAAACTTCAAAGTTTAATATTTTGTTCTAACATCATCAATCATTATAACCTTGATAGTTATAGTTATAACTTAATTTATTTCTTTGTCATGCTAATCATTCGTTAACCATCATGAATGTTAAAGCAATATCATATATTGTTATATATCACTAGTTGTGCTTTTTCACTCTAAGGATCTCCTCTCTATTGCATTTTTTAATTACTAATAACTTACTCATGATTTTTTTATGCTTAGCATAAATTCTAAAAAAAAGCATGCGTTAAATTATAGACTATGCACTAGTGTCCTAAAAGACTCCGGTGACAAAATGCATGTTTTATCATTATTTTTATTGCTTCTTCTATTCTAAATTCCAACATGAGTCCTTTCACCAGTATTTCCTTCACTGGAATGCTCCACTTGGTCCCTATAGGATAAAGACAATGGAGTGTTCCACACTTTGGCCAATCCAAGGAGGCAACGGAAATATCTTCTTGTTCAAGATTGCCTAACCTAAATAATAAATTTGAAGTCATCATATTCATTTTCAATCAGCCTCAAGGACAAAGGAGAATGTCTTCATATTCATCTTCAATCAACACAAAGAACACAATGCCAAGGTCTTCATGTTCATCTTCAGTCAACCCAAATGACAAGGTGTTAAAATATACATGTTTATCCCCAACAAGCCCAATGAACATGGTCCTCTAAGGTGGCACTAGATATCACGTGGATGGAAGAAGAACAAAAAGAATGATAAAAAGAGGGTGAAGATTTTTTTTTTAAAATCTCTACTTCTTCTCCACCAAAGCTCCTTTTTTTGTTTTTTCTCTTTCCCACCCTCCAACAGGCCTCTCCTATTTCTCATATATTTTAGTCTTTCCCACCCTCCTCCAACTAGATCTTTGCTCTTTCTTTTAATGGTTAGTTGGATGGTTTCTCACCCAATGGCATGTGCTGTTAATGCCTATAATACCTCCATTGCATTCTTTTATCATTCCATTTAAAACTGCATGGAATCCATGAATTATCGTAATCATTAATTTAAAAAACAAAAAACTAATATGAATGCTAGATTGCACTCCTTAGAAGTCAACCTTAAATGCACACAGCACATTTAAACTTAATAAGATAATAGTTAAAACTCACGTTAACGTCCTTCATAACATGCAACATTTTAGAATACCGTAAATTGATCCGTTTCAAATGAGATAAAACATGTTTTTTAGAAAAAACCTTGAGCAACCATAATTCACACATTAGCACTCAATATCTGCTCTTCTTATATACACTGCAAACCAATCAAAGTAACATGCGACCCCCTACATTGCTCCTCGGTTATTATTATTCCTTTAAAGACTGCAGCCCTCACAGAACTCTTACCCAAAAACTAGCAAGCACCTAAATCTCAAAGAGCTCAGCTTCCAAGCTACTTGCATTCTCAAATAATTTATAAAGAGTACTAATTAAAACTGCGTACCTTGAGAGAGCCAGCTCCAGCAGGAAGAATCGACCGCTATGTTCGATATGAGACGGGCGGCCGCAACGGCCGTATGCAGAGGCCTCAGCGACTCAAGGCATCCAATCGCCGAAGAAAGCGGCCTTATCGAAAGAAAACACAGGAAGTCAAACTCCTAAAAAATAATTGGAGGATGAAGAAGAGATGGATTCCCGTAACGTCTTCTAACCTGGAAAAGGCAGGAGTGATCAATCTCGAACTCGAGGGCTTGGAGAGCACCGCCATGGATCGGAAGGTTACGGATCTGGCGGTGGTCACAGCAGCAGAGCGGTAGATCGATGCCATTTTTACTCGCCTTGCTCCGCGAGAACCCAAAAAACCGCTCTAAAACCCTTATACAGTGAGTCCAACACAAGTCGAATCTGAGACGGACGACTCTTTCGGATCAGATAATCAATCCATGGCATGGCATTATAGCATGTTTGAAAGAATTATGTGATATAAGAAATTGTAATATAATTTTTTGATATTTAGAATAACTTTATACTTGAACTCCTCGATTCTACTATATTTTAAGTGCATTTTATAGTAATATTTTTTTAAAGAACCAGCTTGCAAGCTAATGAATCGAGTTGAGCATGTTTATAGATTGGTTTGTTAGTTTATCGAGCTTGGCTCACAAATCTTTTATTAAGTCAAATTCGAGGGAGGTGGTGGTTGAGTTTCAATCGTTCTATTAGTTCCTAGGGTGTCACGTGAATATTGGAGGAACGTAGTTAAGTAATGGTGGTCGGATGATTATAATCTTGTGATGAAGGTCGAATCACTGTAGCTGGATAAGCTGTGGTTGCAGTGAAGTAGTCGGATGATAGTGACCAAAGGAATATAGTTTGGTGACATGTGATGGTGTTTAGTGAACCATAGTTGAGTGATAGTGGGGTGACAATGATAGTCGGGCAATGTTCTGACGCGGGGCAATGAGGCAGTGGCTTGGCGAGTGTTCAAATAGAGCTCCAAAATTCTTAGAGCCTTTAAGCTCTTAAATTTAAGCACAATACCAAGATCTAGATCCTCTATCATATAGAGAGTGAAAGCCCATTTATAAATTTTTGTGAGTGACATGCATCGTAATTATAGCTAAAATATGAAATAGTCAATCAGACTACTCATATCATTCCCACTATTAGACACCTCATTCAATGCTAATGTGTTTTAATGATATCAAAATTAAATAATCATGAACTCATTAGATTTGACTTGTCAATATGCTTGATTTCATTTTAAGCATGAAATATTTGAATATGCTTTTGATTATCTAATTAATGTCTTGATGTTTTAATTTTACTTCAAATGATTGATATAAGCTCATTTCAAAAGGATTGTACCACTTATGGCATCTTTGGGTTCGTTTTATTGAGATGATCAATTTAGCCATAAATTTATTGAAATTGAAGTTCAGATGGTTCTAAATTAACTTAAAATTTTTTTAATTCATATATGCGTCAAAATTTTTGCATGATCAAATATATTTTCTTCTAAATTCTTATATATTTACCTATATAAAGAGTGCATATTTGTATTTTAATACAATATTTTAATTTTAAAATCACATTAAAGATATTATTCACATGAACTTATCTAAAATACAGTATCTATTTTTAATTTTTTATGATATTATATAAATAAATATAAAACTATAAATGATTATAAATTTAAATAGTTATTTATACGAATTTTTGCTTCTTTAATTCATTTTTCGGTGCCGGCTCTTCCTTGGCCGATCGACGGCGAAGTTCTTTTCTAATCTGTGGAGTGCGAGTGACCCATAAGCCATGATTCGAGCGGTCATAGTGATGAACACACAGGGAAAACCACGCCTGCTTAGATTCTATGAGTTCCAGGTTTCTATCATTTTCTTGTTTTCCTTATTTCTTCGAGTACTGCCTTTTACCCTTTTTTTATGCTTTAGGGCATGTCTCCTTCCATAATTCCCTCTATTACCCCCATCATTCCATCTTGTTTTCTCTCTGTGTAATTATCACCTTTGATCTGAAGCGCAGCCGCCAGAGAAGCAGAAGGAGTTGATTCGCAGCATTTATGGAGGTGTTGAAAGCTATTCCTTTTTTTTTTTCTAGCTTATTTCTTCCTATTTAGCAAATTTGTTGTTTGCTTATGCATTTTCATTCCCCCTCAAGTTCTGAGCAGCAGAGCAGATAATGTAAGCAACTTTGTAAAGACGGATGCAATTTTTGGTCAAGTATGATCCTAATCTTACCTCATATTTGTTCCATTTACATTGACCAGACGATATTTTGTTTCATCTGTCATAGATAGAAAGAAAAAATGATCTTCCAATAAGTGAAAAATTCACTCGAGTCATTTATGGCTGTTTGAAGGTTGATTTCTTGTCCTTCCTGAAAGGAAATCATTGAATTATTGTTGTTGCCACATTTGAAGAACCATTAATAATGCCGTATAAAGGAATGATCCTACTACTGTCTATTAATGGCTCAATCTCCTAATTATAGTAGGTGTTAATGAGGTATTAAATGGGGTTATTGGCGACCACTGGTGTTATAAAGATTATTATTTACCTGTACTACTGTGGGATGCATGTTAGGTGTTAAATTGAAATTTGTTTGTAGATCATACCGTACCCTTACTAACAAGAAAGACAAGACAAAATGACAACAATTAGAGAGAAAAAAAGAGAATATAATGTTAGAAGCTCTGAGATTTAGATTTAAAAAAGTACAAGGCTTTGAGCTTGAATGATTTGATGTCAGTGGCTCTTATTTTAACTCTCTATTTATAGGCTTGGGCCAAGGCTCAATGCTGTAAGAAATATAATATTTTGGCCAAGTAAAAAATATAACAAATCTTAACAATTACTTACTGTATTTTCCTTATTAAAAAGATTCACCAAGGTATACTAGTTTTTATTTCTAAGAAGAGAGCTGACCTACTATTATAAATATGGCATCCGTTTGTACAACTTAAATGTGTTATAAAAATAAATTTTTTCGATGTTTTTTTTTTTTTTTTAATTTTCAACTTGGTATATTAGTGAGGGAGAACTCTACCTAAGTCCTTCCATGCTGAAGCACGACATGGCTAGTACCTCCAATAGCTCAATGTTGTAGTGGCCTCCAAATCCAAGTGCTATCTTCTTCAACAACCTTAGTGGGAATGAATGTCCCATCCTACAAATTATAAGACACATAGTTGTGGCCACAACTTCATCCAGTGGTCACAATCCATCATGATGTATGTATGATGCAAATGTAAAGAAAATGGCCTCGCTAGGGTTGCCACACCTTCGATTGTCAGAGACCCATGATTCAAGATCTGAATGTTAGAAAACAGCATGATGATGTTATAGTGGGTCAACTTGATGGCAAATGAGATGGGGGAAAACTTTATGTATTACAAAACCATGCAAAAGATACATGATGCAACAAAAGAATACTTCCAAAGTCTTTGAACCAAAGGCTTGCTTCCATGACTTAAGGCAAGGCAATCTTTCTTTAATAAAATACTTTAGTATTATTATTTGATGTTGAAAAACACTCGATATCCTTGGAGACTTTGAATTGAAGTTTTCAGAGGATAACTATGAAAGTTCGTTAGGGATGTTAAGCCCTATAGAACTGGCCCAATGCTAACAAAGAGAGAGGTGAATTGGATAACTTTAAAACCAAAGATAAAACTCAAACCAAAATCACCACAAAGAAAATCAAATGTAGAAGCAAATAATAAGAAAGAACACACCGGATTTATAGTGGTTCGGTCAAACCTTGACCTACGTCCACTCCTTGGAGGCACCCTCCAAGTATTGCACTAAAAGATGTGTCTCTCCTTTAGCCCCCACAGCAAGGCGGAGAAGCCCTTACAAAATCACTTCCACCTTCCCCGGTGCGTTTGAGTCGCCGGGTCCTTTGACACCAAAGAGATCTTCTTCTTTGGTGAACTTCCCTCGAGACAAGCCTTGAATCCGACGGTATTAAGGTGCAAAGCTGCCGGAGCAACCGTGTAGAATCCCCCTCCACACTCCCTTGAGTCCCCCCTCACAGGATCTTCTCCCTCTCTCAGACTTCACCCGTTCCTCACTCCCTTTCAAGCTTTTTCTTCAAGTTTTTCCCCCAAGAACGAAGCTACAGTGGCTGCCAAAGACACTTAACAAGTGCCTTGACAAAGCTTAAATAGAAGTGCTCAAAACGAGCTCATTAATGCAAGTTGCCGACATTATCATTCAGGACGATAGGCATATCTTCCTGTACGATTAGTACAATTTCAGCTCATCAGCCCGGGACGATTTGGGACGATCAAAAGAAAATTGGTTACATCGTCCAGGCCGATTAGTTTAAAATCGATTTCAATCGTCCTGATCATCGCCCTGAATTCGAGCTGTCCGATGTAGATCGTCTAGGACATCGTCCCAGCCGATCATGAGATCGTCCCGTACAATGTGATCGTATCAATCAACTATTAATGCTTTCCAAAGATACCAGATCAATTTAGGCATAATTGAGTTAATCGGCCTGGACGGTATAAATATCGTCCTGGCCGATTTCCTAAAACAAAGAATTCCTAAACTGATTATGGCGGTTGATTCTTTCTGAATTAAGACTATCGTCATGGACGATACAGGTATCGTCCAGGCCGATCAGCTCATGACGGCTGCCTTAATGAGGATGCCCTAATTAGGGTTTCTGTTTTTGGACAGATCGTCCAGGACGATATAAATATCGTCCCGGATGATGTTACCAAAAAAGAACTCTTTAGGGAACAATAGAAAATCTTCCAAGTTATAAATCATCAGGTGCCAAACTAAATATAACAGACTCAAGAAAGGAAAAAGTGTACAAACTGACTCAGACCTAGTCTACCCAATCTTGAGCTGGTTCTAAATTGCACTCTGATCGTATGGACCTGAAATGTTAGTACAAAAGGCAATCGTAGAGAAATAAGAATATTTGCTATCATCAAAATCATTGACCATAGATCCACAACAAACTAAAGTTATAAGAAAATCATTGAGAAGGGATTTGTTCTAAAATTTTTTATTGGGTTCAGTATGGAGTTTGATGAAGCCCTTGGGAGAATCCTAAGCAAGAAACCTCTTCCTAGCACTTGAGAAGCTTGTTTGGACATCAAAAGAGAAGGCAGCTGGAATAAAGTTATGTTAGGAGCCCATCTTAACTCTGAAAATCTTGCACTTGTTTGTAATACCCACGTCCTCAATGACAATCATCAAAATAGCTTGTGATGTGAGCATTGAATGAAGAGTAGACACACAAGAGAAACATTTTTGAAAATTTAGGGCAAGCTTGTTGATTGTAAACCACATGCAACATTTGAAGAGAACGACCATTCTAGCAACGTTGCTTCCATAATTGTAACTCTAGTTATGGTGTTGTGTCTATTATATATATAAAGATCTACTGCTTAACTTTGTTCTTTTGGTTTTAAATTGGAATTATAATTTGTTGTATGTAAGCAAACTAACGAGAGATTTTAATTGTATTACTAAGTTCTTCTCTAATATGCATGCTTTTCAGGTCTTAAATTTGGGGAAGATCATTGACAATGCTAAAATGTGTGCAAGATTCAACCACTTTGAAATTGAGTGTCTAGGAAAACATTTAGAAAATGGCTACCAAAATCTATCCTTCAACATCAATTAAGACTATGCTATTATGTTATCAAACTATCATTTAGGTTATCCTAGCTCCATGTATCTAGGATAACTTCTCTCCTCATTATTCAATAAATTTTCAACTATTTTCAGTGTGAAATATGCCAATTATTTAAACTTGCTCGAAGCTCTTATAAAAAATCAAACCTGTAAAGTTTATCGTCCGTAATCATTAATTTGTGTTTACATAATGGGTTTTTATAGAATTAATAGCATCACTTGTTCTAGTTGGTTTCTTATATTCATTGATGGTCACAACAAAATTACATGGTTTTTCTTGCGAAACATAAAGTGGAGGTTAGTCAAATATTCCAAAACTTCAATATCATGATCCAAACCTAATTTCAAACTACTTGAAATCCTTAAGGCTACTAAGAAAAGTGAATGCTATCACTATGTCCTCGAGGAATATCTCTTAAGTCAAGAATAATCTGTCAAAGTTCTTATGTTGACACCATCATCAAAATGGAGGGTCTGAAATGAAAAAGTAGCATTTTTTTTAGAAGTTGTTAGATCTCTGATGTTGTCCACTCATATTTCTAAATAGTTACGTGGAGAAAAAGCTTTGACTGGTGCTTACCTCATTAATAGAATTTCCTATTGTGTCCAAAAACTTCAAAGCATTATGTCAAAAGCTCCTTAAATCATGTCCAACAATTTGTATTAGGTTCACCATACCTGTCATTTTTTTTGCTTTACAACCTTTATACACGAATTTAACCTTTAACATGACATAATGGAGAAAAATGATTCATGTAGCCAACCCCATGTAGTTGGACAAAGGCTTGATGTTGTTGTTGTTGTAACCTTTGTAAACTGCACCAACAATTTTGGAGCAAGCTTGACCATATATGCCAAATGCATAGTCTTGAGATATTCCTTGAATAAAATAGGGTATAACTGTTACTTGTCTCCAATAAAGAAATTATACACCTCCGTGGATGTGACTTCTTTTGAAAATCAACCCTACCCTAAATATTCTATTTAGGAGGAGAATCACCATAACTCGGGAATATCAACTTTGTGAAGAAACAATTACCCCAACAAATATTCTTAATGTCAAATCTTATTTTGATATTGGGTTTACCATCATCCCTACCAAACTCAATTCTCTCTAGAATGTGATATATTTATTAAAAAAGTTAGGAAATGTATTAGAAGCAAATATGTTAATTGGATAACTGGTATTATAAATTTTATGACCTTATTTGTAATTTGTGGGTTGCATGTTAGGAAAGGTACTAGAAGCAAGTCTACCCTACATTCATAATTTCCTTATTGGAAAAATTCACTTAGGTATGCTAGTTATTCATTTCTAAGAAGAGGGTTGTCTTATTGTTATAAGACCTCCATCTATTCAGTTTGAAAACACAATGGAAATAAAACTTTCTATTATCTATTTTCTAATTTTTTAGAGAATATAATTATGATTAAAAGATTATGGATTAAACCCTCCATAGGATTTTAATATTTTCAAATAGCTTATAAGAGCCATTCGGAATAAGTAACTCCTTTAATATGTGGATTAAGAGATTAAAATCCCTCTTATGCATTAATCTCTTTCATCCAACTTTTTACTTATGAACTTGTAATTGTAGAGGCGGAATAGAGAGAGTGAGACACCCAGGAGAGATAGGATGTGGGAGAGAGAAAGAGAGGCTGTGCAATTAGGCTGATTAGTATACTAATTTGTCCAATCAATTTACTAGTGATAATTCATTACTCCTAATTAAATTATGAGGACCATAATTAGCCCAATTGCAAACCTATTAATAACTTACTGGATTAAGTTATCATCCTATAATTAGTCACTCATTATGTGAGTGAATCACATAATTCGTGCCTAATTAAACAATCAAAGTATAATTAATCCATAATAATTAGCCCAATTTAGCACCAATTAATCAATCTTTTAATCTAGTTAGTACATATTCATCTTACCTTAACATCTTAACCAATAAGATAGTGGGTCTAATTATTATTTTTTGTTTTTTATATCTAATTATGTATTGTTAACCCCATACAGCACAAATAAAAACTAAATTTGCTTAGTGAAACCCTAATTAGCTTAAGTTAACATTTAAATGAAAAAGCAATTACTAGTCACTTAAGCAAATAATCCCTGATGAATAAAGTATTTAATCTATAATTATATTGGAGCTTTAATTGTTATATTACAGCTCAACTTGTCTAATTTTAATTTAATTATTTGTTAATTATCTTATACTCTTATTGTGAGTGAACATTTACCGAGGAAAAAAAAGGATTAGAAAAAAGAATATATTTTTTAGATTGTGGGTTTAAAATGAGAAGAAAAGAAAATAAATGAGTATAAAGATTTCCTCTATGATAATGATTTTGCTTTCTCTCAAAATGAGCAGAAAAGGTGAGAAAAATTTTGCATAAATAAAAATTTAATAATATCTAAACTACCCTTGCTTTAATAAAAGAATAAAAGTTTATTTCTTCTCAATATGACTATTTTTCTTTTCTCATTTAAAAATCCCAATCAAAATGAAAAGAATCCACATTATTTTTTTTCCCTTTTTTTAAAAATTTCCCCACTCAATTCCTTGATTTTTTACCCATTCCAAGTCTAAAGAATCCATATCGCCTTTTTTTTTTTTCTCTCTCTCTTGTTAAATAGCCTACTGAATTAAATCACCTCACAAATCTAATACAAAGCCCTTAGACCCTCTAACCCTTTCAATCGCATTCAAAGAATTCTTAGGTTTTAACTCAAATTAGAGATATTGGCATTCAAATTGTTTTCACAGGATAAAACCTCAAAATTTATAGAAATCCAGATTTATAGGATTGTCTAGGCGGGTATCTTTGGTTGTTGTGTTAATTCTGAGCTCAACCATATAACTATAGGATAGATTTGTTCCTAATCCTTCCAGTGAACTCATTCTTTTGATTATTATATCAAAGATATAGATAATAAAATCGGAAAGAAAGGATGAATTTAAATGGTCACAAGAATTTCCAAGTTTTTCTTTTAAATGACATTTTGGATCTTCTATAGAATTATTTCTTTCTCATATTTCATTTTTGATACTACTTCAGCTGAGATTGCTTTTTCATGAATTCATCTTTTTGCAGGATACACGGGTGGTATACAAGCACCTAGCAACGCTGTACTTTGTTTTTGTATTTGACAGTTCTGAAAATGAGCTAGCCATGCTGGACCTCATACAAGGTATGCTGAAAACTAGTTAAAATATTACAATTAAATTACTAGGAATCAAAGTGTCTTCCATGAGAATGCATATAATTTTATCGTGTTAGGGTTCATTTGGTCGTTTGAAGTTTGAAAACATGTTCTAAAAATGATGAATTTGTTGGATTCCATCATTTAGTTCGGTGTAATTAGAAATAAATATTGGTTTTAAACTTCAAAAAACTTCTTCAAAACTTCTCAATTGTGATGATTTCTGTTGCACTCAGAATGAATGAAAACAAAATCATCATTTTCTAAAATATATTTTTTCTATCTTCAAGCAACCAAGTGAGCTATTATAGAAAGTTTATTTATCCTTTATAATTTCTTGATTTTTTTGTCAGTTTTGCTTTTATAAGTGCTAACAATATTTATTTCAGTTTTTGTTGAAACATTGGAAAGATGCTTCAAGAATGTTTGTGAGCTCGACCTTGTATTCAATTTTAGCAAGGTATTGTTAGCTGTTCTGGACAATTTTAACTTATGCAACTGGCTCAAGAAACTGCTATTTGACAACTGATTTGGTTGCTAGAAGTTTGAAAACTTGTTCAGAAAAATGATGAACTTTTAGATTGCCATTTTTGCTGGGTGGTGTTAGAAATTAATATGGATTTTCAACTCTACAAAGAAACTTCAAAATCATTATGAAGTGAGGATTTTATATTCACACTTTAAATGATTGAAAATAAAACCATACTATGTTTTCATCTACAAGCAACTACATGATCTTTTATATGAATGCATTTTCACTTGGCTAGATTCCTGTAAACTCTTTTTTTTTTCCTGGTTTCATCGTGCTTGCCATATACATTTACACTTTACTTTAAGCTGGGAAGGAAGTCATATAAGAAATGCAGAATATACGGCTAATGGAATTCTAATTTATTAAAAGGAATATAATGGTAAGTTAATAGAGCTTCCTAAATTTTATGCACAGGACAGAAGAAACTTAAACCAGTTTTTCGTAAGATAGAAAGGTAATGTTAGGTATACGAAGAAAAATAGCAATTGAATTTCAATTTTTTCTGTGGCGTATCTAGTATTAGTGTATTACCATACAAAATGACAAGCTTTTAAAATAGAAGGTAAGTTATACTAGGTACAGCAACTGTGCCTGAACTCTGGTAACGATATAGTATATGAATTGGCCATGAAGTGAAGAACTTTTTTTCTGCGTACTGTATTTAATTCACGAGTATCATAGATCTTATGCACGAAGGAAAAGTTTGCTGTATGGGCATATGGGATTGTTCATCAACTCATCTTCCTCAGGTCATAAGGCTTTACCTATTACATACATGACAAAATGATGCAGTTTTATGCTCATTCAGTTATTGACACTGTGGTGTAGTTTTAGTGATAATTTTTCTTTTTCTTTTGCTAACCTTCCTTGTTTGGTTTGTTTTTTCCTCTTAACTAAGGTGCACTTCCAGCCTTTTCTATTAATCTTCTTCTTCTTTGTTGTTCTGATAATCTATCAATGTCACTTAAAGGCGTCCAACTATCTCCAAACTTCTGAATACATTTACATATTGATAAATTTTTTGAAGAAATTATTATTTTGCCAATATGGAAAGATAACATGTTAAGGATTCCTTGTTTTTCAAAATCTTGGACTAGGATCACTAAACTTCTTTTCTCGTTCCAGTTAGTTGCTTATATCTAGTGCCACAGCATTTGTGCATTTAACAGATTCTCATTAAATGTGATTCTGTTGAAAAGTAGACAAGGTTTAGTAAAATTATCACTTCTAAGTTACCTGCCATAATTTAAGCTTCTCCGATATGATTTGGTAATATTATCTCTTTATTTTCTTCTCCTTATTTATTTCGAGCTTGGTTATAAAGTTTGTGAGCTTGTTGGACCGCCATGGACGCTAATGATAGTTTTGATGTTCTTCGTAGTATACTTATTCTTCTTTGATTTTCTTTTACTGATATAGCATCTTAAGCTTCTCCGATAAGATTTGGATAGTTGTCCTATGTGTTGCGAAGAGCTAGGTTCCTATTTGGTAAGTGGTAACAGTTGAGGGGAGGAAGTATTTGGATGATGACCAGCCTGTTGTCTAAGCACTGCTTTGATATTCGAAATGAACCTTGAATTTTGTGAAAAAAGTTGCTGTAAAAGATTTGAAGATGCACCTTCACAGCTTCTTACTATTTGGTGGTTTTTTATTTTCATTTTGATAGCAAGTGGATGCAATTCCCTCGAAATCAGCGAACGACAATATGAAATAGGAAGAAAAAACACTATTTTTATTACAAGATATATGGAAGAAAATAGCAAGATACAGTTAGATCTTCAATTGGAGAGGAAAATCCGACTCTCCCAAATCCCTAGCCGCCGGCTAGAGCCCAAATAACCTAAGAATAAACTAAATTCCAAGGCTTTGAAAACCGGACCGGTCAATGAACCGGAAGAAGGAGAGGTTAGCGGTTTGATGGTTCGACCGGGGTCGAAACGGGGTCGAACCGGATGACGTAATAAATATTTCTTATATTTAAATATTATAATAAAATCATATACACAAATTAAAACCCAAGATAAAAAATTACAACATAGAAATATGCAAGATAGAAAACTATGCCAGATAGAAAATTATATGGTAGAAAACTGCAAATAAAGCTTTCTTTTTCAACTCACTGCAAAGATTCTCAAAGAAGTGAAAGAGGGGATGAAAGAACTTTCCAAAAGCTACAGCAACTTAATAAGAAGCATTCAAAAAACAAAAATACAAACAATTTTCAAGTTACCTCACTGACTGCAGAATGAGCATGCCTAAAAAATTGGGAATGAGAGCAGGTATGCAGGAGTAGACAAGGTTGACTTTTTTTTTTCAGTAGAAATCGATAAGAGAAAACTTGTTTGCAATGGAGAAAACCTTGCTTCCGACTTTCCCTACATTTGAAATTTGTAGAATATGAAAACAGAGAACGTTCAGATCCAATCTGATTGCAAAGCAAGAGTATGAAAACATAATCACTAATTTACCAAGTGACAGCCGAACGAATCTTGCTCGAAGGCAGTCGGCTACCTGTACACGAGACCGAAGAAGGGAGACGCGAGCAAAGGTTCCGGATAGATCCAAAAGAGAATCTCGTAACCACTGACGAGGGCTGGACGGCGGATGCAACTGCTGAACCAGGCAAAGGCGATGACTAGGAGAGCCTATGTGCTGTGAGAGGCGAGAGCTTTCTGAAGCGATGAAGCCAGAGCAGGCCAAACTTAAAACCGTAAGAATGGGAAGACGATCGAAGCTTGCTCTCGCTCGACGAGCGATCTTGCCAGTCGGATCTTCGTTCGGCCTCAGGCCGCGATCAACCAACAAGCCTCCAGTAGCCGACCCGCTTTCTACAAGCAAAGTTTGTTCCTCTGTTAAAGCTCGAAGCCGAAGAGTCGAGCAGCACGAGCAGACGTCGATGCAAATGAGGGTTTTTTTTCTTCTCCGCGTATAACCTTTCCGGCCGGTTATTTAAAACCGGGACCGGTTCGGCGGTTCGGCGGTCGAACCGCCGGTTCGAGCGGTTTTATCCCGGTTTTCTGCAAAACAGGTTTTCATTTGAACCGTAACCGGCCGGCCGACCGGTTCGCGGTTCAACCGGTTGAACCGGCCGGTCCGGTCCGGTTTTAAAAGCATTGCTAAATTCAGCAAACTCCCAAAAAATATATCCTGAAATCACCCTATTGTTAGCCTTAAATAGGCTTCCATAATTCCCTCCCAAATCAGCCCCCTTTTCTTAAATAATTTCCTTTCATATTTGAATTCAAATTAAATTTATTTTCCTAAGTAATTCTCTCCTAATTATAATTAAAACTCTCCTAAACAAATCCCCCTTAATTCTTCTTCCTTTTCCCAAAAAAATTCTCTTAGATTTTGAATTCAAATTAGATGTTTTGCTTAAACAATTTCCTCCCAATTGTAATTTAAACATTCCTAAATAATTCCCCTTTGATTCAGAACCTTTCTAAATAGCTCTCTTTTGATTTCCACCCAATCAAATCGGCAGGACCATCACTTTTCAAATCAGTATTTTTTTTTTCGGGGCCGTTTAGGGATCGAACTAGGGCCGGCGGGAGGCATTGCCTGAGCTCAATCACTGAGCTACCCCCCCCCAAACATCTGCTTAGACAATGAGAACTACACCACAACATACATATCAAATAAAAATAAAATAAAATAAACCTAATGATTTTTCATTTTCATTGAAGGAGAATTTTACCCATTTATCATGTATAAACTTTGCAATAAAACAATAATATATGGAAATAAAAAAAAAATTTACAGCAAGCAAAACTTGAGAATTTTTTTTATTTTTTATTTTTCACATTTCTAAAAGAAAAAACCCCAAGAACATAAGCACTATCATTGCTAGAAACATGATGGGCAATCATATCATCTAAAGAAGAAAGAATACATATTAAACATGCCCCACCAACCATTGCATTTGGAAGATACTTCAACTTCAAAATGTTTCTCCAATGTGGTTCATTATTAGGGGAGAATGAGGATTAATGTCCTACTATGACTTCAATAGATATTACATATTAAACTTGCCCCACCAACCAGTCTTCTGAACATGTTTAGCTTATTCCATGTCAATTTGATTAAACAATGGACATATTTTCTTCTCTTATCATTATAGAAAAAGTAACATGTATTTATCTTTTAAGTTTTACACTTTGGCATTGTTACCTTATGAAAAATTGTATCATAAAATTAATTTTTGTATGCTTCAAGATATGCCGATACAATTATATTTTATAGATATGCAATAACTTGTTTTATATTTTTAACAATGCCAATAAGTCTCTAACCATAATAGTATATTCAATAACTACATATATCTATTAACAATTATTGTAAGAACTTCATTATATTTTTAGCATATCACATATTTTTGATAGGTTGAGCACATATTTTGGCCTAGAGGATGTGTTGAACATCTCATATCATTCTTAGAGGATGGTTTTATTCCATCTATGCATCTCATCTCCAAAGGTTGACTTTAATCTAGTTCATCATCTCATTCCAAAGGATGATCCTAGGCCAAATCAACGAAAAATTATTATGTGCGGAGTCTGGAGCCGTCCGGACTCCAACCATGTGAAAACACGTAGATTTTTTTCTCGTGTACATAGAGTATGTACAAGTGAGAAAATTTACATTTCTTCAAGTGATTGGAGTCCAGACGAAAAGCTACATTCGGATTCCATACATAATAATTTCCCCAAATTAATAGTTTGCTAAAAGAACTTAAAATTCATAACAACTCATAATAAGTAATGTGCGTCCAAGAGATGCTCAAATTAACAACCTTCAATTCTAGAAAAATCTTATAAAAATTATATTTGACTTTATTCTAGATTTACATTTCACCTCCAAAGGCTGACTTTAATTCATTTCATCATCTCATTCCAAATGATGATCCTAGGCCAAATCAACAAAAAATATTACATGCAGAGTCTAGATGTCGTTCAGATTCCAACAACGTGAAAACACGTGGATTTTTTCTATTGTACATAGAGTGTTTACAA